CCATTATTAAATTTATTATCAAGACTGAAAATACAATTCAACTATTTCAACTTCAGCAATATTTATAAACAAACGTGACCTTCAGTCGGTTTCGACCTGATTTATTTGGAGGTTCGTATCTTTGGTTCAATATACGCTATGTAGATGAAAATACCACCGTTGGATTCAGTACAAAAATATCTCCTAGTTTCTATCGATAGTTTTAGTGAAATGTCAACACTATAGCGATTTATGACCTTTGAAAGTCAAGCGGGATTTTGTATATTAATATCAAATCACGCAATGTTTACACTTGATAAATATAAACTAGGCATACCTTTCGGCGAACATAACTTCGGCTCCTTGGGACGCATCCTCTTTGTATTACACTTGTTCGAAAGCGAATTCAAAACACTACTTAGAGTGTTATTTTTGAGCTTGTATCTTGAAAACTTCATCTTTTATTATGGTATTTCCATTCCTGGTCTGATTGTGAACTAATTCTCGAACATCAGCGTGTGACAGGCGCGTGCGACTGTGCGAGTAAAAACCCGATATTTTCAAAAATTAAAATAAATATTTCTACTGGCCGTATTCAAAAGAAATTTTCTACACGAAAGCGCTTGAATACAAGGAGTATTTTACTTCTTTGACTGGTGGCGAATTCCGAAGAGTTCAAGAAATATTCAAGTTTTTTCTCGATACGAAATACAGAATGTTTGGCCAAGCGGTGAGTAAAATATACGATTGTTTGCTTTGTGTATTAAATGTTAAAAAATATTACTTTTGACCATCCACAAACATGCAAGCACTAGTCAATAAGGTCAATCAATCATGCATTAAATAATGATTTAATTTTCAAAAAGACGTTTCTTGTTTAGTTTAAAAATCACCTTTTGTTTCGATGTTTACACTTTGTCCCACTTTGTCCCACTTTGCGATGCAAATCGTGCAGAGGCTTCGCGCCTTCCCTCGCCTTTGCCGCCTGCGCTCCTTCGCCCAGCGGCTACGCTCGTGTAAGATCCGCCATGTAAAGTGTAGTAAAATGTATCTCACCGTAATATTAAATCCTAAGAAAACTAAAGCCTCTGCGGAGGAGAGAGTCAAAGAGTAGTGTTACTCTCACGTGGAGTCGCAAGATTACCGCGAAGAGTTATCTTGACCCTTTCATGGAGTCAAAATTACCCTTGGAGTTGAAACGACCCTTTCAAGGAGTAGAAACTACCCTCTTTCCAAAGGGACGGAAAAGACCCCTAGGGGTCAAAACTACTTTTCTGAATTGACAGTGCGTTGGCAGATATATTCCCACGGTTTGAGTAACTATGTTATTTCGTGAGTGGTGTTTGTTAGCTTCAAGTCAATCACTGATGAGTTTGCGTGCAGTGGCCAATTGATGAATAGCGTACAATTTGGAAATTACGGGAACCACTGACTATTTAGATAAAATACAAAACAATAGATACTCCGAAAATTGAAAGCATTTTGAAAAAATTTACTTCGACGTTTCGACTAAACTATATGGTCATCATCAGGAAATGAATTATGATGATATTACATATGTACAAGTATATATAGTGAAGTAACAAGATACGATTAGTTAAATATTAATAGATATTTAGAGGCTTTAGTTCCATGGTTTAGGGACGGTTTCATTCCATTAATAGCAATAGACTCTTGATAAAGTATCAACGACCAGTGATTGGATTTATCTGGTATCTTAGTGTTAGTAAATATTAAATCTGTTAATATTTACTAACATTTATTTATTTTTATTTATTTACTAACATTTATTTATTTATTTTAGTTGTTTTGTTTTTTCATTCGAAAAATAAGTCCTCTACTGAAATTCCCTTGCAAATTTATCGTCAACTGGAAAACTGCTGATACTAATTGCTTCATCTCACTTAAAGACCCAACACCAAAAACGTATCAAAGCTCCGTTGTGTACGAATTCAATTGCCCTGGATGTAAAGCTAACTACGTAGGAAAAACTGATCGCTGCCTATATACCCGTATTAAAGAGCATTCTTTTCTTGACTCTTCTGAAATATATAACCATATTACTAGCTGTAATGAATTCAATTTTGTAATAAACCCACTCGAACTAACACATATAATGACGAAGTTAATAACATTAAATGTTCAGTAACAGATTTAATATTTACCAACACTAAGATACTAGATAAATCCAATCACTGGTCGTTGATACTTTATCACGAGTCTATTGCTATTAATAGAATGAAACCGTCCCTAAACCATGGAACTAAAGCCTCTAAAGATATATTAATATTTAACTAATCGTATCTTGTTACGTCACTATATATACTTGTACATATGTAATATCATCATCATTCATTTCCTAATTATGACTATAGTTTAGTCGAAACGTCGAAATAATTTTTTTCAAAATGCTTTCAATTTTCGGTGTATCTATTGTTTTGTATTTTGTACAATTTAGAACAACACAAATGCTTACAATGACCCAAAAATTAGAAGTATTTAATTAACAAAAATTCGCAGTGCATAAACTTTGGTTTCGAAAAATACCTTCCGGAAATTTATAATGTCAAACACCACCAAGCGGTCAGAAAATTAATTAAATTAAAAACTTCACCACATGATTACGCGTGTTCAAACATGTCAAGGTCAATAATAGCGAAACTCTTCGCTCTCTGAGAAATATAAAATATTCTCTCACCATATTATGAACGCATGCGAGGAAAATATAACTGGCATGGTCAAATTCAAGTTAGGCTTAAAAAGTAGGAGACTGGGAGTGCTAATAATAAAAAATCTCATTGACTTATTTCTCCCAGCTTATTTTTTGAACGTTTTATTTACACTGATGACAGCAGGTTGTTGCATATTGAACTTTAGTTAAATGACTTGTTGCATATTGAACTTTAGTTAAATGACGTTTGTGCAAGTTACGCAAGTTCGCCATATACAGACAAAAAAATATCTTTATGTTTTCCATGGCAAATTAAACAGTGCATGTATATGAAATAGTGTATATGTTCAAAGCACCAGCTGAAAAAGGAATGTGGTCTCTAATTAGCGCGCTATTCATTGCAGAGAGAAAACACCTCCTTCATGCAGGTAAATGTGCACATTATTACTTGAATATTTGGTCTAACTGAAATACTTGGAAAAAGCAGGACAATTTCTTCGAAGAAGCTATTTTTTGTTTTTCGTAGCCCTGAAATAAATTTTAGGCTGATGGATGTAAGGTTACCGTAAACCTGAAAAAATTTCCATGCGGGAATTTTTCATTATTCATTATTTATAATTTTTTTCTTCAAAATGAAAAAGTCTATGAAAAAGTCTCGAAAATCCTTACTGTATATGAGCGACTGAATTGCAAAGCAGGCTATACAAGTACCATCCGAAATTTTCTTGTAAAGTATTTGTCGCAAATTGGGGACTTGAACTAAAGATTCGGTTTATATTTTAAACTTTTCTGTCGATAAAACAGGAAGAATTAAGAATATTTGACAGGAAAAAGATGTGGGAAACAAAAAAAGGCGAAATAATGATAAAAATGGAAATAATGAAAAATTTCATGCGATGCGAAAAATACATGCGGGCGGGTTACCGCAAGCTGATACCTTACTTCCATCGGCCTTAATTTAGTCGATATATACCGTGTTAGAATCAACGCTGGAAAAAGAATGCTAACAGATATACGCTCAGTACGTTCAATTAATTATGCCACAATTAACGCAGATCGAAGTCCAAGTATATTCTTGGTGCATCCAGTAGCCAGTATATTGAATAACCTAGCTATAGGAACGCAGTTCGAAACCCCATACTAGATAATGCAATATATAGCTATTTTAGAAGCAACTATAAATGTCATTGTATTGTATATCAATTTTCACTTCAATGTTTAGACTGTCCGCATGCCATACATTTTGACATATATAGTCGGTTTGTCATCTTTGTCATGGGCATTTCAAATCTCTTGTAGTGGCATTACTGTACGCTTGCATTTTTTATATATAGATTGATTCAAATAACTACTTCATTTGACATTTACAAATTAGATGAAGAACCAAGTTTAACAATAGTTTTGTTGTATGGGAGAAATCTAAAATACTGTTAGCTGCTGTTTGCAAATACCCAATTTAAATATTTTCAATTTGTTGTTTGAATGGATTGCAGCCTTCTATGGACACACGATAATATCTATAATAGACTTATTTCATTCATTTATCCGTTATAGAAAGAGCAAATAAGAAGCTTTAAAATTGGTGATTTTGTAGGCTATGAACTAGCTTACGACACATAATTTGGCTCAAACTAGACTAGTAATTATAAAACTGGTTCAGCAGAGTAAAGTTATTTGCGTTTTAATTTTCAGCTCGGTATGGCTTGCAGACCATCTTCTTCCAAAGAAGAATCAACACATGAACCACCCAAGAAGAGGGGGGAAAGCTCTTCTTTCTTGTGACGTTCCGCCCAAAATCATCCCCAAGGAAACTCTTTTACAGGCACTGAAACGTGTGGAAAACGCGATTAAGAAACATGGAGATGACTCACTGCGAAAGCGATTAGAAAACTTGCGCGGACAAGTCCAAGATCTTTTGGAAGATCAGGAAAAAGAAAATAAAAATCTTTGGGACGAAATAAACAGTTTAAAGAAGGAAGTGGAAAACCAGAAAACCGAAAATGAAAAGCTACAAAAGGAGCTCGCTGTAGGTGAGGCAACACAGTTGTTTCAAGCGCATTTGGCAAGATTTGTAGTCGATTCTTCAGAGAAGATCTACCCAAGAGGTACGTTTCATCAAATGGAAAAGTATCTGAGGAGATTAAAGAACCCGACAGGCAATCGGTGGACTGAAATATAACGTAGATTAACAGTTTGGACAGACGAACATCAGGAAGTAGTAGACAATGTAAAAATTGGAAGGGATTGCAAAGCACATCCATATTTAACCGATCTTGACCTCGTAGAATCTGAAATAGAAGAAACGATGTCTCCTGATTGGAAAACATGATGAAAGATATGTTGGACATACTTAAGATGACAGCAAGTCTAATGAAGTTTGGACGACTGGCGAAGCGTTACGAGTGGGACAGGCATCTACCCTTGTTTCAAAAAGCGCGCACAAGTGTACTGAACGAGATAATTTCATGGGATCGTAATTTTGAACAAATCAAAGGTCTACAAAATATAGAGCACGATGATGCGAAAGAGTATTTAGCAAAGTACGTCAGCAATCGTCGTACAATCGATCACTACTATTTCATCGATCACTACTATTTCAAGGAAACAGCAAACGTTTCGGAAAACTGGCCTGGGAGTTTAAAGAAAGTTTACCTAATTTTGATGCAATATCCATTGAGCATGGCGAAGCGCTGGAGGAATTAAAAAAATTGCTCCCAAATCCAGGTAGCGAAGACAACGTAACAGTTCTAGATTACGACATAGCCAAGTTGCATATACCCGACTTCCTACCAAAGCGTTTGTGGAAACATGGTATCGAAATCGTGGAGAACTATGAAACTAAAGTCCGGATCTAACGAGGATCAGATTAAAAGCACATACGTAATAATAAAACACTTCCAATTTCAATATATGACTTCTTCTTCCTTAAGTCATTAATATTCGCGTACTTAAAAACATATAGTCCGACAAGAATTTGTTAAAGCTACAAGTACTAAGTACAAATTATCACTTTTACAAATTAAAGTTTTGTTTTTATCAAGAAAGATTTTTCAGCCATGCATAACACAATATTAAATATTACTAGAAGTTACTATCGCAAGGAAAATGCTGCCTCACCCCAAGGGATTAAAGGCAGCATGCACAATTTGCTGAAAAAGGGGCTGTTTATATGATCCCGCTTTGCCAGCAGATATGAGGCAGGATGATTTTGATGTACTT